TAAAGTTATGGAAAGATTGTACAATTTCAGATGCGATTCATTGTAGAAAAGATAGTTTGATAGTTAAAAGAGCTTCAAGTATCATTTCGGTTACAAAAAAAAAAACTATAGTCAAGCATTGGTGTCCAAAGTTAAATCGAATGGTTAAACTTTAATATAGCCACCATATAGCAGTACTTCTATATGTTCTATCTTCAGATCATGCAGTTTCTAAGATAATCTAAAATATTGTATTCAAATTGTAACAGATTTAAACTAATACCCCATTGCCTCATTTTGTTATAAGCAATGGTTATAAACATTGCTCCTTTAAAGATGTGCAGGCTTAGCGTATAAAAATCTTCCGAATAATCAACTGTTGCTATGAAATATGATACATATTTCATGATATGTTACAGAAATATTTAAATAATTTTATAATAATATTTCTCAACAGTCACACGTCATTGACGTTACGTGTCGTAAAGTTAATTTTTGTATTATCTTCGCCTGCTATTAATTTCTGTTTTTGTCTTTGCGTAAAAAATAAAATTATTAAAGCGTAAAATATACAAATACAATTAGGAAGAGTGGAACACTAAAAAACATTAAATTTTATCAAAAAATTAATTATATTACTCGATTTCCTTGAAACATTGATTAACTCTCGCGCTGCCATATACGATAATATGGTCGAAAGGATGATGTCATTCCTTGTTTAACAAATAAACATTTGCTAAATGTTAATATTTACTATTTTATACAAAAATGTGTTTAGTAATATAATATAATATAATATAAATAATAATAGAAGTAATCAAAAATTATCTGGGTTCTAGAACTATATTGGGAAGAACTACCAAGACTATTGCAATCTAAAATGCTTTTAGGGGCTTATAACGTAAAACATTTCAAAGAATAATCAAAGAATTATTACGGGAATATTAACCGATAATAATGCAGATTAAATAATCATCTAACAAAGTTAGGAGTCCAATCCAATTCAGAGTGCAGATACTGCACAGAAGACAAAGAAACCGCTAGGGAAATGCTTGGCACTGATGCACAAGCATAAACAATAAACATCTAGGATGGTATTTCATGGAATATAGGTACTCAAGGCCAGGAAATATAGGCTCTTTACCGTCTTTCGTTAAAGAAATCGGACTTGGAGAAGCACTTCAATCCGACCAAGAGACACAATAGATGTTTTAGGTAGTAGTCAACTATCCGTTTTACTAATAATCAAATTAGCATATAAAAAATTAACAATTTAAATCATTTGCGGCCAAATTATAAACATGCAATTAAATTACTTTTAAATTAAAGTTCCAGATAGAGACATATTTTCCAATAAACAGAATAACTGTGCAGTCAATTCAAAATTACAAGCTACAAAGAATTTCTATCAATTTTTCCATTTAAAAGGTACTCCAAAATGTATTATTTATAGAAACACCTACTCATATTTATCGGAAAGTTTAAAAATAACCAATTTTTCAAAGTTACTATTTTAAAGAAATATTAAAACAATTGGTATTTATCTGACAGAACAATCTGATAAAAGACTCGTGACACCGCATGCCTTTTTTAAAAATAATTAATTTACTATTTATATTTTAAATTAATCATACTTTTTATATATATTATTTCTATAGGAAGTCGTAACGCGTCTTAGTTTAAAGCTTCATGTAAATTAAATTAATGTAAATATATAGAGAACATTCAGGAGAGCAAATATATTTTCGTTCTCGTCAGTGATAGCTCAGTTCAATTGATAGATTGGCGGTCACTGGACTTGAAATTTATTTACGTGACGCTATGTAAATAATTTAATAATAATAATAATTTTACAAAGTACATTGACTGCTTCTGCTACTGATATTCAGATTTATAGTTTTAACCGATTAAGTGTCCATATTATACTTCAGAGTGTGTCGACATGATTGTGATATCCGCTTAAGCTTCAATGTTATTGAAAATTCAGTTCCGTAATAATAAAAAAAAATAGTTTTATTTTTTATTTTCTTATTTTACATATTATTAACAAATTATTGGCAATTATAGTTATTTATGTGAAATTGGTGCACTTTAGTCGTTAATAGCAAATTTTCAATTAATTTAAAATAGAAAATAATTCCTGAATTTTAAATAAAACGTAATTATTAGTAATTTCGAGGTTGAAAAACGTACATCAAAAAAAGAAAAAAATAAATTAAAATTAATGTATTTTATTACTCATACCATATATAATAGCGCGATGATTTTACTTTCATGAAATTGTGAATATTTTATATACTTTATATACAAAATTATAAAATCAAAATCTTTCAAAATGTCATATTAAGTTTTTCAATTGTTAACTTTTGTTTCATTTTTATAAAAAGAATCAAAATTATCTATAGATACACAGTCCAGGTTTCATTGTACAGTCAGTAGCAGACCAGTCTTGGAGAAGCTATGGTACTACTCTCACAAGTAGCATGTATAAAAATATATGTGATATTTAAATAAAAATGAAGCATTTCAGAATTTTTTTATTTGTGGCGTTAAGGATATATAGATATATAGATGATAACAAATACACAATACATAATATATTACAAATAGATATTTTTCTGTACAACAGGTACGTGGGTAATATTTCTTTCTGAAATTTTTTGCGAAATTTGATTTGACTTGTTTGTATTAACTTTTATTACTTGTTTTGAGAGATTTTTAGCTATAAATTATGGCAATTAAAATATGTATACAAAATTAATTATAATTAATTTAAATTCAGGAAGTGTATTTTCCTATTATCAAGAGACCACCAGAGTATCATATATATGAGAACTGTATATACTACAATTTTGCATTTTTACTTACCTAAATTTAAAAAAACTATATGAAATTTGACTTCTTGTACTTATAATTCTTATATATTTTAATTTAATTAAAAGCAGTAATACGTATTAAGTTAAATTCATTTCATTCTCATTATGTTTATGAGCATTCATGCATGATCATTATTAGTAGTTATATATTAAAATATAATTTAATTCTAGACTTATATAGATAAATATTGAAAATGGATAATTTTCTCACATACGATTTTTTAGGTGTCTCGAACTAAGAAATCATTTCTGGAATATATTTTTTATTATTTGTTTAAATGCAACTTTTGTAATTTTAAAAGCATTTCATAAATATTTCTCATCATATTAAATTAGTTTAAATTTTAAATCCTTAAGTTTTAAGGATAAAAACTAAATTCTTAATATCAACACTTGTTGTCCTTAGAGAGGCTTTTATTGAACAGTAGTAAAAGTGCAACAACAAAACAGTTCAGTTTTATTATTTTTAATTAATTGATTTTAAATAAATCAATAAAAAATCCTTTGCTGTTTTTTTTATTAATATATTAAAATTTTAATGAGAAGGTTTTTCGAACAGTAGTGAACTACAACAACAAAAATTTATTTTATATTATTTTAATTAATTGACCATACAGCTGTTTCGGGTATTGCCAAATACCCATCAGTAGTGGTCTTGGAAATAATTCTTGTATTTAATTATTCGTAAATATTTTTTTTTATTTTTTGAGACCGCAAGTATGTACCGTGTTAAAGTAAAATTTTAATGAATATATATAAACATCGTATTGTGTGACTGACTAACTCGTTAAATTATTTTAACTACAAAAATATTAAATTAATTTGAAAAAAAAAATGTAATGATTAAATTATTAGCTTCTCGAAAATAATATTTGATAAAATTCGCTAGAACTGCGTTATGTGAGCAGTTCAGGGTTTATAAAAAACTAATTCGTAAAAGGCACGTTTAGTCACATAAATTAATGATATAAATATTTAAATGTAGTAAATATTATTTGTATTAAATTTCTTATGAAAGTGCTTTTATTTTCAAATCAGTTCTAATTACTTGAAATACTTTAGAAGACTTCATGGTTCCACACAACACATAGACTATTCTCAATATAGAACCCATTTACTTGGTGTCTAGTAAAAGTCCATGAGTATGAGAATGTAAAAAAATTAAAAAAAAAAATTCTCTGATATGAAAGAACAAAAAACTGATTACGTTTTGTATTGACTTTGTTGTTTCAATACAAATACGCGTGCCGTCTTCAGATACTTTTACACATTGTACAGTTTTATTTTTGTTTTACGATTTAACAAAAGAAAAAGATAAGGAAAAATATGACCAACAAAATCTGAAGTAAGCAAATTTTAGCATGAATTCATAATCGTAAAAACGTTTGAGTATAGAAATTTATATTTTAGTTTTTATATGACAAAAAAAAAAAAAATTAAAAAAAATCTGAAAGATTTTCAAAAGTGTGTGCTAACGTAAGGCAATCTTTGACTTCTTGGGTAAGCGAGTTCCAATTTCATTTCTTTTTGTGTCATGGTAATTCAATCAGAGATTATTGCAAAACCCGTACTTTCATAATTGAACTACAAAGGAAATTGCTAATTTATTGATTTTATATAATTTTATTGTACGCGCAGCTACTTTTGCGGTTAAACTGTTTACATTTGCGAATTATGATTTATGAGAACGTTTCGGCAAAAGCTGAAATGTCGAAATTATCGAAGAATACTTCATAATATTTCAAGACAATACGCAATACTATTTCATGAAGTGTCACAGACCCTCGATGTAAGACCGATTATTTAATCTCAATTTTTGTTTTATTTATTAAGTTTTGCTGTCGGTTCTGAACTGAAGTTGACGTACTTCAAATAAACATTGAACAACATGATACAATTCCCACGGAGGTGTCTGCCGCACTGCCTGCCAATATTTGCATTATCTGTTTGAGTTCATGTACGGAGTATGAAGGTAAATAAATTAGCCGTATTGATTATTGGGCTATTGGACATTACATATGTAGTATAGTGATGTATAGTGATAAAGATGAAATATTTAATGGAAATATGCGCATTTGTCAACTACGCATTTCTGTTGCGATGAATTGCGACTCATTTTCTATTAAATAATATAAATTTACTTACTTTATTGTCACTGCAACCAAAATGATGATAAGTCCCACCAAAACCATCGCGATCACCACACCGCACACCATGTAAATAGTGTCATTTGGTGCGTCTGCAAGAGAATTTATCATTTAGTATATTTGTCATTTATCATATATCATTTCCTATATAAGGAAGAATAGTACATGCAAAAGGTGTTAATTTATAAAATTATCATAATAATTATTTTATGTTAAAAGCAAATTCATTTCATGCCGAAACTAAAGAGGAAATGAAATCAACCAAAAACCCATACTTTTTTCATGTTAATTTTATAACTAAATAGTTATTGTAAGTTAATATAAGAGAAGAGCGATATAAGTTAGGGGAAATTGCTGTTACTACATGCGAAGTAATAAAAAATAATCAATTCACTTTATAATGCAAAGGCTTAAGTGTTATCTTAAAGTGTCAAGATCCTACAATAACACGATTACAATGAAAAATACTTATCTTAAAAACAGTTAAAAAGATACTCCACAGATTTTTTATTGCAAAATAAAAGTAAATCTGTTCGACAATTTATAACTGGATATATATGTAAAACTGTATATATATAAAGTCAGCAACTGTTGTTGTTGAGTCAGAAAACTTCATAAAATGATATACTTAATACTAAACATTATTTCAAAGAAAAGTCTTTAAGTTGTATTTCTTGCCGTAGTAAGCAATAAATGCGATTAATAATATTAATTGTTTTTGTTGTATAAATAAGTGTACTTACTAATTTATTTGATATAAACTAATTTTATTTCTTTTTATATTACTTTATTTTACTTGATTTAAATTCCTTTTACGTTTAATTTTATATTATTCTGTTTATTTTATTTTATTCATTTATTCTTATCATTTATTAAATTTTATTTAATATTTTTTATTTATTTATTTATTTTTTTTTTTTGTATTTTAATTAATTTTAAAAATGCGTCTTTTTGTTGCATCATCTTAGAACTAACTTAAAAACTAACAAAAAAAAAAGATAAATAGTTCATACACAATTAATAAAAATTTACAAATTATTAAATAATATAGCAAAAAAAAAATTATGGAAAAATAAAATAAATAAATTAAAAACAATAATTTAACAGTTTACAAAAACAACAATTTCTAAATTAGTAAATAATAAAGCAAAAAAAAAAAATATAAAAAAAATAAATTAAATTAAAAATATAAATTTAAGGTTTAGTCACTTTGTCTAATTTTAAGTAATTAGAATTTCATTTTATATTAACATAAATTAATTTTTAACTTGACTTGACTAAAGAAACTAAACTCTTAATAAAAACTATTGCTTTCAAAAGAAGAGATATTTAAAACAATAGTATAAATTACAACAATAAAATTTTATTATTTATTATCTAATTAAATTTTTGCCTAACTGCTATATACAGCTGTATCGTTGGCAAATAACCATTACCATTATTTTAATAATTTATAGAATAAAACTCATTTTATTCTATTTAAAATTCTATATTCTATTCATTTAAAATTTTGAAGACCTATAAATATATAGGTCTTGTAATTGTTTCTTCTTTATAATTTTTCGTAAATAATTAAATTATTAATGGAATAAAATTTATTTCATTATATTAATATAAGTAAGAGTTATATAAGTAATATTCTATAACTTCAGTAGTTGATTTTTTGAGTCACAAAATAAAAAAAAAAAATTCATTTCTAATATAAACATATATTTTCGATTTTTTTCTTTATAAAGCATATTAGTTTAATATTAGATTTGCAATTTAAAATTATTATGTTTAGAAAAAATTATAATATAATAAATATATACTATTAAGAATTGCTAATATTTTTTTCTATTTTATACAACGTTCTTATATAACGTTTTTGAAATTATATATTTTCAGCGAAAAAACCTAGTACCAAATCCATATAACATATACTACTATAATCAACTTATCGCTAAGCAAACAGAAAATTATTGACTTATATTAAATTAATTGACATATATTTTCAATAATTACGTTTATATTTATTTTTATGTTTTTCAATTGAATTATGTTCAAAACAAATTAATTGGTCAATCCAAATTTTTTACCAAAAAATAAATTGATTTTTATTACTAAACTTAATTTTTATATATGTTAACATTTTTCTATTACTATTTAAAATCAATGAATGTATATAAAAAAACTAAAAAATTTTTATTTACTCGTATAAAAATTTATAAAATACTTTTACTCTCTTTCTCAAATATTTTTAATTTTTATCAACTTTATTTGAATATTTTGTATAAGTTAACATATTGACCTCACTTAAATTGAGTAGCATAAAAAGCAAAATAACAGTTGTGAATTGATGTTTAACTGTTGGCATTATTGGTCTAATAAATACCCTGCGAATATCAAGTTATTGCTGTATGAAGAATGAGAGTTGTTTCTTTAGAAGTTATAAGGGGATTAAATATTTGTCGGTAAATATATTTAAACTGTCAGTCTAGTAACAATCCGTTTTCATAAAATTAGAAACACAAACGAAAATATAATCTTATGAATTGTACAAGGAAAGTTTGGCACATGTTGTTTACAGACATAAAATTATTTAATTAGCTAATAAAAATATGAAATATTTCAAAATTTATTGGCATAGAAATTTATAAAATAGCTTGAGTTATTAGAAACGAACAAATAAAAGTTTTGTATACATATGTGCATTTAGATATATATATATATATATATATATATATATATATATATGTATATATATATACACATTTATCTTAATATTCGGCTAGTGTTAGAATATGAACTCTTTTGAGCTACATATACTATATGTTTTAGATTCTGTTAATATGTGTTTTTCTGGGCGATTTTCATTTAGTTCTTTCACACTTTGGCTATTTGTACCAACCTAAATGCATAAGAAATCTATTGCATTATATTAAGTTTTTATTTATCTTTTATCTTTTATAAGATATATAAATCTTATATATTTGAATGAGAGTAGACATTGTACCATTGATAAACTTACAAAATGTGTCACCTATATAACAAAATAAAAATATGATGCATTAATAATAAATATACATAGCCATAAATATAGTTTTTCATATATGGTATGTAGTCAAAATCTTTACAATAAGTTATAATCACTATTGCTAGAAAATAATTTTTTATTTGTTTTGAATGTCTTCTTATCAGTTCATTAACACTGGAAGGCACTAGAATTGACTGGTATTGAAATGGTTTATTGATATAGTGGATTATAGCGTCGTGATTCTCTACACTGCGAATTATATGTTCTGGAGAGCTTATACAACAATAAATTTTGTGAGATAATTACAAGTTTTTACTAGTTTTAAATATTATAGTATATGGTGTTTGATACTTCAATACACCAATCAGTGACGTTAGTTGATATGGTCAACTATAGCGAAACAGTTCTTGAATAGATGTCACCTACTGGTGGGCTCTAGAATATTGAAAAAGTTGTGTTAAATTTGTAAAATCATTAAAAAAGGCTTCATCGTAAATATTGGTTTATTGAAATCTGAATTTTTGACTGGATTAATAGGTTCTCATCCATGTTTCACGTCCATAATATGGAATATCCTTATATTGATATTTCATATTTAAAGTGTTGAAGAGCTGAATATATGGTTGTAGTTTCATATCTCTTCAAATTAAAGCAAAAGCAAGATATTCTTTATGATTTTTACTATTCTAATTTTTTGTTTATTTAATTTTGACATATTCTGAGACTATATAGTCTAATGAAACTGTATGTAAAACAAGATATAACTTCATATCTATTGCTCTTACTTTTACTTTACGTACAACGGACAACTTAAGGTATTATAAAAATTAGATATTTTGTTATAGGAAGAATGTTTAGATCCATTCTCCTACTTCTTATCTAAATTATATTGCAAATATCTGAACTATATTATAATCAAACTAAATATTCTGCAATTTAATTAGAAATTAATATCAACTTTAATTGTATTTTTCCACTTGATTTTTGTTCCATTTGTTTGTATTTTTATTTACTCAATAAATTAAAAATAATGCTATTTTTAACCAATATATCATTATAATTTCTACATAAATAATACTGAATTGATTTTAAGTGCTCAATCATAATTGATGGAGGTATTTATATTTTCACCAGGCATAAGATATCAAAACATTACTCATAAATTTCAAAAGTCTTATATTCAATTTGACGTCATATTTTTCGGGCAGTTCGTTATGTTTTCTTTCCAGGAACTGTGTCGATTTAATTTTCCATAAATAATCAATTTTATTCAAAAAACAAAAAAAAACAGATGTGCCAAATACGCGACTAAACGGAAATAATCATTTCAGACAAAGTGACTAAATCGTTAGGTAAGGCACTATTTTTTTTTGATGGATCGTTTCGTGTATCAAAAAGCGAAAATAATACAATAATTGCTAAAAATAACAGTTTAGATAAACAGTTCCATAATAAAAGGAAAACCGTTTAGTTAATGTAATTTGTGTTCTGACAGTTCTATTGGATCGTGGCTGCATAACAAGTTGTTACACAGAATTTCATCTTACGTAAAACTGTGCTTCCCGATAGTTTGTTTAGGTAATTAAAAGTTCATCAATTGTATACAATAGATCAGATTTGGTGAAGTAAATAAAAACATAACATAATTTTCTTGTGTTTTGTTTTGGGCAGATGCATTCCTGGAACCCCGAAACTGATTCACACACAAGTATTTGTTTTCAATTTGTTCTGCATCCGCGCTAAACAAAAGTTCATTTAATTTATTTTATTATTTTGTTTTGAATTTTCACCCACAAATATTTTGTTGAATAAAATTACATGCATAATTACGCAGTTAATTTTCAAAATTAACAAAATTTGCTAAAAATTAGTTTCGTTTGACTTACAAAAATGTTTTACATTTATTATTTATTTTTTTTTTTCATTTAATTTATTTGGGAGACGGTACGAGTATTTTACAAAAAATATTATAATTTTATTTTTAATTTTTAAATATTTCTTAATTATACTTGTAAACGTATAATGAGAATTCACTATATTATTATTATTCTTAGGTGACAACAAATTCACATGATT